TCCTTCCTCTTGTTTATTCGCTTCCTGTTTTCTCCTACAACTGAAACGCAGGTTACTTATCTTCACCACAACTGCTCTTCCCAAAAAACCTTCGCTGCCAATAGTGACTTCCAATCCGACCGCACCACACTCCTCTCTTCCTTTTCTTCCAAAAACACCCCCAACACCGACTTCCACCATGCCACCGTTGTCGGTGGAGGCGACACCGTCTATAGCCTCTTCATGTGCCGAGGTGACGTCAACCTCTCGATGTGCCACCACTGCCTTGTCAACGCAGCCCAACGATTATCTTCCGAGTGCGGAGTTTTGAAGGAGGCAATAATCTGGTACGACGAGTGCTTGCTTCGCTATTCTAACCGTCCCTTCTTCTCCACCGTCGACGCGAGGCCTAGAGTCGTCCTCGGGAACACCGGAAGTGTCTCAAACCAGGCAAGCTTCATGTGAACATTGCATGATACAATGAACGAGACGGCAGATGAGGCGGCTAAACCTGCTGTTGGGAAAAAGAAGTATGCGACCGGAACAGTGAATTTCTCAGCGTTTCAAACTGTGTATTTCTAGCACAGTGCACGCCGGACCTTTCGCCGTCAGATTGCAGAAGTTGCCTGAGTGGTGTGATTGGGGAACTTCACGGGTGTTGTAGTGGGAAGCAAGGAGGAAGAGTGCTGTACCCGAGCTGTAATGTTCGCTGTGAGTTGCGCCCTTTCTATCAGTCGGAAGCTGCAAGTGTTCCCCCCACAAATACTACTGGTTCCGAAGGTAAAGCTCTCACCTTGGTGATTTTGGTATTAGTTTGCGAGAAAATTGAAAGTTTAAAAGCAAAACCGTGGGGGAAAACCCACTGAACAGCGAGTGAAATAAAAGCAGGGCGGGTTCAAAATTGTGGAGAAAAAGCTAAGTGGACTAGAAGAACAAATACGAGAAAAGATTGAGTGAGGAACATGAATGATGTAAATTTGGTTGCTCAATTATTGCCACGAATTTACCATGTTAAATATACTTGCTTTCTCTGTTCTTTCTATCAAATAGAGGGTGCTGAGCACCTACTTAGCTATGTGAGTATATCAAACGCTACCCTCTCTAGTTTGATTCAAACGAATCATTTGTTTTCTTTCAAAAGGACAAATACTGTGATCCCATTATAATAAATAGCTGACGACATTTGATACAGGCCTGGAAACTTTGGAAGGATGGAGAACCCTTGAAACCGTTGGACCCCACAATAAGAGAATCTTACACTCCAAATGAAGTTATGAGATGCATCAACATTGGTCTGCTGTGTGTTCAAGAAGATCCAGCTGAGAGACCTTCAATGTCATCCATAGTTCTGATGCTTGATAGTTACTCTGTGACTCTGCCAACCCCTTCAAAGCCTGCATTTTTCGTCCATAGCGGAACTGATCCAAACATGCCAAAGTTGCTGTTTGGTCAATCTACGACCAAGTCAGCGCCAATGTCAGTGAATGAGATGTCTGTTAGTGAAGTGATACCTCGGTAAGCTTAAAAGTTGGAGGTTTTTGCAAACGTGCCTCTGTCTAAGTGGTTGGTCTATTGAGGCAACGTTGCTTCTTTTTTAGTGTGAATTACAGGTGATTCAGGCAACGTTGTATTTATATATAGCCATGAGGTCTCTAGATGACTTCTTATGTTCCTTTTGTAATAGTTTGGGTTGAATCCACCAATAATTATTTGCCTTGGAAAGTGTCAATTTTGCGTTGTAGCAGACTCGGAAGTTAGGAAGTATAGTGACATGCCGTCCAACGTATATCTGGTCGCTGGTTTTAAGTTCTCATTTACTGATTAACATCACAAACACAAACGTCTAGAAGGAAAAGTTTGAGTTTGTCGTTTTGCTAGCAGCAGCAAAACGGCTTTTCTATGCGTTTAGAAGGATTTCTGCAACAGATGAGCAACAATAAACAACCAACAATGTGAAGCACTATGCCCCTAGTTTATTCGCTTCATTCAGGAAAGATTTAATAGAGATTACAAATGAAAGCATCATGATCCATCCAGGGCGCAGAAGAAGAAGGAGACGAACTTTCCACCATGTATCGTGCAACAGAGGGGGATCATCCTGCGACGGGGACAATCGGAGCCATCCAAATTCAAGGCTAGCAAGGAACCTCACGGGTGATGGTGACTCACGACTCCACAGTTCTGTGTCCTGCTCAAGAAAAATAACATTCAAAGATTGATATAAATAATACTCCTCCACTCCTCAGTATAGGACCTGATTGGAGAGTTAATGTTAGTTGTAAATATAAGACCTATTTCATATTATTATCAATTTTTCTTGGATTAATTTTATTGATATTTCATCAATAATAATCAAGTAGGAAAGAAAAAAAAGTTAAAAAAATGTTTAGGATGTTTAAAAAAATATCATATTAAATAATTTAATTAATATTTTTAATCTACTTAAATTAGTTAATTAAATTTTATATTAAGAATTAGAGAAATATTACCTCCGGTTCTAAGAAATATTTTTTTTTCCTGTCATGTCGGCGCTCTTGCTAGATAAAAGCTTTAAATATAAACGTTTGCCATTGATTTTTTTTCCTTTTGAAGTTGTTCTTAATTTTTGTAGTTCCAACTTGATTTTCCGAGTGTTATAAAAATATTTTATAATGGTATCAAAAAAAAAAGTTATTGATAATTTGAAGAAGAAAAGCAATGAAAATTTGCGAGTGTCGGTGTTGTGCCCTCCTCTGGCACCGGTCTACAAATGAGAAAGAGCAGAGAAGTCGAAAATTGATTTGCTTCTGTTATTGAACTCATCGTAAAAAGGACGCCCACCTGTCCCCGTCCTCCGTTGCGGGGCCTTAATTCCGTGTTGTTCTCGCCATTTGAGAGAGACGAACATCATTATCCATCCAATAAAAATAATAAGAAGAAAAAACTAACTTTTTATTTTGTCTTATTTATATTTTCCCTATTTTGAATGTATACGTTTTACTTTAAATTTTGACACCATTAAAATTATTCTAAAATGATTTCAGAATTCTATTTTCTTAATTGTAAAAATATTCAAGCAAATATTATTTATTTATTTACTTCTCATCATATTAAATCTCCAATTTATATGATTGAAGATAGATTTAAAAATTTTAAATTATAAAAGAGACACTATTAATGAAATATACTCCCTTTTGTCTTATATATAAGTTTTAAATTTAAAAAGAGTATAGTTCATTTTTATAAGTTCAATTTAAATTTGTTTTAATATTAATGCATTTTTTTCCAATTTTATTTTTTGTTTATTCACTCTTATTTGTTATACTCTCTCTTATCAATTTTTTTTACGTATTTTTTATTTTTTATTTATTATAAAAACATATTTAAAAATAAAAATATATTTATAATCTATTTATTATTTTTAACTAATTACTTATTTTTTGTAAATGAGTTACTACCTTCGGTCCTTATTATAAGACTTAATTGACTAATTTGGAAAGATTAAGAAAATTAGTTAAATTAGTTATTTGTTATAAATAGATATTCTCTTTAATTAGTTATTTGTTATAAAAAATGTGTTATTTTTTTTTAAAACACCATTGCTAATCATGTATATTAGCTAGAGTTACCATTCTATGAAACATTTTATATGTGTAATTATTTCAAGAACTATTTTAAAAAAATAAATAAATATAAAAAATAAATAGATTAAGGTTTTATATTTAAAACTAAATTAAAAATTAAACAAATTCTTATAATAAAAACGGAAGTGGTGTATGATATAAAAAAGTGAATTTTTAAAAGAATTATTGTAAGATCTTAATAAAAAATAATTATAAAATAAGTTCTAATATTCTTTACGTTGAAACTTGGAACTTGTCGGTTGTTATTCTTTGAATCAATCAATCATGAAAAAAAGATTTTTTTTTTATAATTATTCTTTTTTTATAAGACTTAGATCCTAACTCTTTTTTGAAAAAAAAAAATTTAGGTGAGTTAGTTTTCAAGAATTCATCAGATCAAGACATGCCTCTATACTCAAAAAGCTCTTACAGAGATATTTATAGATACAAATCGTCCACCAATAAGGTCCTCACACTAACAGCGGGATTTAAACTCATATTATGAATATCAACTGACTTCTTAAACTCTTCATCGTTAATTCTTTTTCCTCCTCCTTCTTCTTCCCCTTTTTCCTTTTTTCCCCCCTCCCAACCAAATTTAGTTGACCTGCGTCGACTTCTCCATCAACGATTGCATCTCTCCCTGCCCCTGCAATATCGTCTTCCTCATGATTTCTCCCTTTTAGCCATGAGATACACACCGTAAGAACCGCACAAACTTCGTCCATGGTCATCGTTCTCTCAAAATTGTCTCTTTCTTGCTTATTAGCGTCCTCTTTCTCCTGCAAATGAAGCACAGGTTACTTATCTTCACCACAATTGCTCTCCCAACATAACCTTCGCTGCCAACAGTGCTTTTCAATCGGACCGAACGACACTCTTCTCTTCCTTAGCTTTCGCCAACACCGACTTCTACAACGCCACCGTTGTCGGTGGCGGCGGCATGGTCCACGGCCTCTTTATGTGTCGGGGTGACGTCAACCTCTCGATGTGCCACCAGTGCGTCGTTAACGCTACCCAACGATTATCTTCCGAGTGCCGAGTTTCGAAGGAGGCAATAATCTGGTACGACGAGTGCTTGCTTCGCTATTCTAACCGTTTCTTCTTCTCCACCGTTGACACGAGGCCTAGACTCAGCCTCTTCGACGCCGGAAGTGTCTCAAAACAGGCAAGCTTCATGAGAACATTGTACGATATAATGAACAAGACGGCAGATGAGGCGGCTAAACCTGCTGTTGGGGAAAAAGAAGTATGCGACCGGAACAGCGAATTCTCAGGGTTTCAAACTACGTATTGTCTAGCACAGTGCACGCCGGAACTTTCGCCGTCAGATTGTAGAAGTTGCCTGAGTGGTGTGATGGAGAACTTAAGTGGTGTTGTGGTGGAAAGCAAGGAGGAAGAGTGCTGTACCCGAGCTGTAATGTTCGTTATGAGTCGTACCCTTTCTATCAATCGGAAGCTGCGAGTGTTCCTCCTGCAAATACTGGTTCCCAAGGTAAAGCTCTCACCTATATGCAGAGGGTATTTCCTTGAATCTTTATAGTTTCTAATCTGTTTGGTGATTTGGGTATTAGTTTGCGAAAATTGAGAGTTTAAAAGCAAAACCATGGGGGAAAACCCACTGAACAGAGAGTGAAATAAAAAGCAGGGGAGGGTTCAAAATTGTGGAGAAAGAGCTAAGTGAAAAAAAAGAAATACGAGAAAAGCTTGACTGAGGAACATGAATGAATTAAATTTGGTTGCTCAATTATTGTCATGAATTTATCGTGAATTGCCATATTAAATATACCTGCCTTTCTCTGTTCTTGGGATGATTCAGGAAAAGGTGGAATCTCATCGGGGGCGGTTGTTGCTATTGTGGTTCCAACTTCTGTGGCTGTCCTAGTATTTATAGTCGGCATCTGTTGCTTGAGGAAACGAACAACGAAGAAGTACGACTCTGTTGCCGAAGGAAAATGTAAGGATGTCCATAGTATCAGCATACCAGACCTTTGCTCTTTTGGGTTCATATTTGCTCGCTCTTCTATTTTCACTTTATCTCATCATTCACACGCAACATTGGTTGTGTAGCTGCATTTGACATCGGCAATGTGGATTCACTGCAATATGATTTCAGTACAATTGAAGCAGCCACGAACAAGTTCTCTGTAGTTAACAAGATTGGTGAAGGCGGGTTTGAGGGGTTTACAAGGTACCAAGTTTGTGTACTTTATTGGTTTTTAACATGAAGGAAATTTGGCCGCTCCGTATATGTATGTGGACTTGATGTTTGAA